TGCTGCAGAAAGAGTTAATATTTCTAAAATGAAAAGTGTTTTATAGGTGTTCAGTATTATTCGAAAACTTGGATACAGTTAAATTCCTTTCATAGAGATCTTGGCTACAGTGACCTTCTATTTATAATGGTCTTGGAATGGAAGGAAAGTCTTGTCATTGGGGTATTAATATTGGGAGACCTGCAGTCAATTCCCTGCTCAGCCAGATTCCCTGTGTGATCTTGGTCAAGTCAGTTAGAGTATGTCTACACTGCAACATTATTTTGGGATACCAGAAGATTCTGAAATAGCTATCCCGTGTTTTCACAGCAAGCCCGTTATTTCAGGCTTGCTATTCCGACGTCCCTGTAAACCTCATTCTACAAGGAGTAAGAGGTGTTTTGGAATAGCACCTTATTTTGAAATTTGTGTAGACAGCGCCAAATGACAAAATAAGTTATTTCAAAATAGTATCAAAATAAGATACAGAATTTGTGTTGGTCAAATTGCATGTCTTATTTCGAGTTAAGGTGCAGCAGTGCTTTTTTTGTGATGATATTGCCCGGTACGTGGTCAGAGCTTACCTGGAAAGAACAGAGCATACCAGCACCTCTGTGTGCAAATGTTCAACAGTCGGCTGGGCCACGTGTCTTAAAGGGGCTGCATCTCTTTAAAGGGTAATGTAGCCTCACACCGCCCTTTTTTAAAATTATTTGGTTGTTTAACAACTTTTTCCCCTGGAGTACTGGCACCTTTTTTTTTTTAAACAAAAAAAGCACTGTGGTGCAGTATAGATGCACTCCTCCATTACATCCTCTTATCCTCATTTTAAAGTTGGAGAACTGAAGCACAGAGGGTATGTCTATACTACCACCCTAGTTCAAACTAGGGTGGTTAATGCAGGCAATCGAAGTTGCAAATGAAGCCCGGGATTTAAATATCCCGGGCTTCATTTACATCTTGCCGGGCGCCGCCATTTTTAAAGCCCTGGTAGTTCAGACTCCGTGCCCGCAGCTACACACGGCACGGGGTAGGTAGTTCGAATTAGGCGAACTACACGAGGAGTAACGGTAGTTCGAATTAGAAAGCCTAGTTCTAACTACCTACTCCGTGCCGCGTGTAGCCGCGGGCACAGAGTCCGAACTACCGAGGCTTTAAAAATGGCAGTGCCCGGCAAGATGCAAATGAAGCCCGGGATATTTAAATCCCGGGCTTCATTTGCAACTTCGATTGCCTGCATTAACCACCCTAGTTTGAACTAGGGTGGTAGTATAGACATACCCTCTGTGCTTCAGTTCTCCAACTTTAAAATGAGGATAAGAGGATGTAATGGAGATAAACACATTAATGACTGTGAGATGTTCAAATGATATGATGATGGGAGCAGGACAAGTATCTATGATAGGTTGGTTATACTGATACTCTAGTGAAGTAGAGTGTCACAATCCCTTCTGAATAGAATTAGTGCTGGCTTTTTCTCCTTTTTTCTTCCTCTAAGCCTGGTGAATCATGACCTAGAGGGAATGCAGACCCTGAATTTAATAATTATTTGGACCTTGTCTACACTGGCAATTTTGTCGCCAAAAATTGCCTTTTAGTGACAAAGCAATGAGAGGGTTTACACTGCGACTTTTGTTGGGGAAAACGTTCAGCCCTGTGAAAGACTTTTGTCTTTTCCCCTGCTGTTTGTTATGTCAGGAGAACTGGCTTCTGCTAATATCCCACAATGCCTGCCCTGATGGCTGTGCTCAGAGTTTTGTGATCTTTGCTCCATTGCAGGCATGCACCCATCCCCTTTCAAAGCTCCTGGAAATATCTGACAGCTGAGTGAGCTGCTCAGTTTGGGGAACAAATCATTGGAATGCTCCTGTTCTTCCCTGCTAATAATTCAGCAGAAGGAAAACTGTTGCTGCAGGGGGAGGGCTGGAGAGACAGCTGTGCTGCTTTGACATTCCTTAGCGTGGAGAGCTGGTAGAGCCATGAGAGAGTCCCAGGAAGTGCAGGGATCAGCTCTGCCTTCCCATAATACTGCATTGTGGGATGCTTATCCACATTGCTTTATTCTATCTGTTGTCTGGGTGCTAGCAATGTAGCCATGAAATGTTGCCAATGGAAGGCAAAAAAAATGATTTGACCATTTTTCACTTTTGGTGATTTTTCCATGTCAACACCTATGTCGCCAGACCTTCCTTGGATAGACATAGCCTTAAAGTCAGGAAAACATACAGTGAAAGAAACTAAAGAAGCTTAAACTGTTTAAATTTACAAAGGGAAGATAAAAGGTTAATTGATGGTGGCTTATAAGTTCCTACACAGGGAAAAGATTTCTGATGACAGAGGATTCTTTAAGGTACCAGGCAAAGACATAACAGAATTAAGTGATTGGAAGCTAAAGTAAGAAAAATTAAATATAAAAGTAAAGTGCAAGTGTACAACAAGGAAGGTGATTAACCATTGGAACAATATACTTAGTAACATGGTGAATCTTCTGTTGTTTGACACTATTAAATCAAGACTGGATATCTTTCTAAAATATTTGCTCTAGCTCAACCAGAAGTTATGGGCGTGTTGAAATTCCATGATGTATATTGTACGGTAGGGCAATCTAGATGAGCATAATGGTCCCTTGTGATCTTGACATTCATGAATGAATTCTCTTGAGTGCAGGGAATGTAACTGACTTTGGCTCTTGTTAAAAAATGGGATATTTTGACATTTTCAGAAATAAAACTAATTTTTTTTTGTTTTGGAATAAATCTTTATACTAAATTTACCTTCATTTATATGAAAATGCTTGAAATTGAAAAGAACAACATTCACAGTTATCAAAACAAAAGTCTTCAGTTGACCCAAAACAACAACAACAAAAATAGAATTTTCATTCAGAAATATAGAATTTTTGGTTTTTCTTTCCAGTTTGGGATGAAACACTTTTTTTCTGAAAACTTAACATTTTTTCATGGAAGGGAAAAATCTATTTACTATTCAATTAAATGAATTGATTGCTATTGCTGTAACTGGTATGTGGTTGCATGAAATTGTGCTGTGCTTTATTTTTATTTAAATATAGTTCATTTACTGCTTTTTAGAAACAGCCTACTTAAACACTTACTATTGTGTTCTGAATTGGCTCTCCCATTGCAAGTATCCACTTACTATTTTCAAACAGAAACCAAAAAAAAAAGAAGCCTTAGAATTCAACTGAAAAGTACTTCTTACTTAACATCCTTTGATTCTTCCAAGTTTATTACTGAAAATTGTAATATTAGGAAGAAGATGAAGAAACAATTTTTTGCAAATGACTCAGCATTTTTAAACCTGTTCTGCACTAGGAAGTTAAGTGGACTTCGTTATATGACTTCAAGATGTGAAAAATCCACACCCTAAGGGTATGTCTACACTAGCACCCTAGTTCGAACTAGGGTGGCTAATGTAGGCATTTGAACTTGCCAATGAAGCCCGGGATTTAAATATCCTTGGTTTCATGTTCCTGGGTGGGTGCCATTTTTAAATCCCCTGAGTTCGAACTGACTGCCCCGGCTACATGCGGCAGTCAGAAGTTAATCTGAACTAAATCCTTAGTTCGGATTAACTGTTACTCCTCCTGCAATGAGGAGTAACTAAGGGGATTTAAAAATGGTGCCAGCCTGGGAACATGCAAATGAAGCCCGGGATATTTAAATCCCGGGCTTCATTTGCAAGTTCGAATGCCTACATTAGCCACCCTAGTTCAAACTAGGGGACTAGTGTAGACATACCCCAAGTGACATAGTTTAGCCAGCCTAACCTCTATTGTAGATAGTGCTAGGCAGATGTTCTTCTATTGACTTAGGTACCACCTCTCAGGGATGTGGGTTGCCTATGAAAATGAAAAAAACCCCAACCATCCCATCAGGGTAGGGAGTGTTTTCACTGAACTCCACACTATCTCTGCTGTGCTGTAGCTTTTCAAGGTTAGACAAGCCCTTAGTGATGATTGTATCTTCCTTCTCTCTTGTTGGTAAGACTTTAAGTCCTACTTTTCCCCTCCTGATAAATATTGGTAATGATGTTTGTTTCTGAGACTGCAACAGAGAGAAATACTAAAGAAATACTAAATCTCTTGTGCTGACAGTTAAAAAAGTTTCAGTAAAGATATAATGACTGATTCCATTCTCATACTGACAGTTTCAGACCTACAACTTCTATTAGACCAAAAATCAGCCTAATATAACAGCTCACTGCAGATATTTAGCATGTAGGTAAAGAAAACCCACTGAAGGCCATAAAGAAATAAACTATATTAAAGCTAATCACAATGTGTATCATGATGATGAACAAATTGGTTCCTTTCCTTTCCTCAGATAGTGTAAAGATGGCACTGTTTCTACTTCCTACAGTACAGTTATGTTCTGAGAAGTGAGCTCCTATGTATTCAGTAGACCTGCCACTCTCATGTTTTCAGGGTTATATTTGTTACTTTACTATTTTTGGCATGCTAGCTCTGCAGCACCATCACAGTTGCTGGAGAAGGAGCTGCATTCTTTTCTAGCTCATGGATCATCAACAGAACTCTGTAAATCCCATATTCTTCTCTCTGTTACATCTGTTTGACCTCATTTAGGACAGCAGGACTAAGCAGGAGTGGCAAAAGGCAGAATTTCAAAGAAATGGTGTAACCACGGAATCTGGCCTTGAGAATCTTTATTACGAAGGATAATGCATAAATGAGATACAGCACAACTTGGATTTCAAATCCAAAGATCAGAAAAAAGTGTATTTGTTTTTAAATTTTTGAAATGAACAAACTGGGTGTGAAGTCCACTGAAGAAAATAAGCCTGGAACCCCACAATTACATTTTTTCCAGAGGCTGTTTTTGAGTATAATTGCACTCTAAGAATTTAGTACTGATAGCGTTAAGATTAAAATCTATTCCCCCAGATCCTAAG